AGCCCTGTGGCGACGGGGCTGTTATTTATCTGTGCTCGCTGTGCAGGGAGTGTGCTGGATCAGGTGTACAGAGCAAACACCGGCCGTTTAGAGAGCAAAGATTCGGCTCACTGAGCAGTGCCATGGAGGACACAGTTTGTTGTGGTTTCTGGGAAAATCGCTCCCTCCTTCCCGTCTCTCTGCCGTCACCTTCCTTCAGGCCTTCGTGTCTGAATCCAGACTGGTCTGCCCGCCTCCAGCTGGCCTTCTCTCCAGCCCCCAGGCCACGGCCAGGGAGAGCTCTGAAAGACACCCACAGGGAGGCGAGCCTTCCTTGCCCTCACACTGGGGCCGGCTCCCCTGTGCCCAGCGCGGGAGAGCACGGCCTCCCAGGCCTTTATAACTCGGCCCACCTGCCCTCCCGCTCCCAGAATCTCCGGTTCCAGTCCCATTGAACGACTCACTGCCCTGCAACTCCCCACAGGCAGTTCTCAGCCAAGGCGATCACCCATTCCTTTCTCTTCCTCTGGGTCAATGAGGCCGTGCTCTCTGTTTAGCTTCTGTAGAGCGGTCTCTGGATGCACAGAATTGTGACAGGAGAGAAGCAAGAGAACCAGGCCCAGAGGTTACAAGGCAGACACCCTGCACAGACCACCTACTCGGTGCAAGTGTTATAAATCAGCATGCGAGTTGGAAAAGGCGCCCCCCGAGGGGGCAGGTCGCTGATCTGACGATTAAATGCCTCCCATGGCCCACGAAGAGTAAGTTTGAAATTTTATTTTTTGCATGCTGAATGCAGAGGGTGGTTTTGGTGAGCGGACCAAGTCTTAAGGCATCATGGTCTCTGGGATCTACCCCTTCTCCCTTTTTCCTCTTCCCCACGCCCTCACTACACATTCACCTATTGAGGCAGACGTGTCCTTCCAGGGATCAAATGGTGAGATGACAACTGTCCAGGAAATGTTTTCCCCATTGAGTACTCAGAAGCTGTTCTGGTCAAGCTGAACCAACAAGGCCCTGGGACTTCGGTTGGGAAGCAACTGAATGTAAATGTGGTAGGATCAGCAGCGCTGATCCGTTAGGGCAGTGGTTCTCAACCTGTGGGTTGCGACCCCTTTGGCTGTTCAACGACCCTTTCACAGGGGTCGCCTAAGACCATGCTGCATATCAGATATTTACATTACCATTCATAACAGTAGCAACATTACAGTTATGAAGTAGCAACGAAGATAATTTTATGGTTGGGTCACAACATGAGGAACTGTATTTAAAGGGCCAGAAGGTTGAGAACCACTGCTTTAGGGGGTAGGGACATGGGAGGCATGTGGTTTGCTGCCATGAACTTCTGGAGGCCAGGGTTGTGTCTTACTTATCTTGGGGTCCCCTACAGTGCCCGCCCCAGACAGTGGCTGCCACAGGACAGACCCTCATTCAGCTATTCAACAAATATTTACTAAGCTGTAGAGGATTTGTTTTTCCAGGTTTGGAGTTTTAAGCTTGTTAATAACAGCTGAATTCTTTCTCTGTTTTGTCATCTGCACTTTTGGACTCGGAGTTGGACCTTGTCTTTCATGGTTTTTCCAATCATCCCTCTCTCCCTTGCCCAGCCCACTCCCATAGTCTGCATACAGTAGGCTCCCAGTAAATATTTGTTGAAAAGGAGGAGGAGGAGGTGGAGGAGGAGAAAAAAAGGTGGAAGAGAGACAACTTAACAATAAGCAACACAGCAGGTAGGTAATCATCCTGAAATCCATCTTGGAGGCTAGAGAATTATCTCTGAATTTTGTCCAATCGTGTTTCCAGAAAGTCCTGCCTCTGTCATGGCTCTTGTGGTCACCTTTGGTTTCTTTTTTGTGCTGGCCACATTTGTCACCAAAGCCATCAGCTTCCCCACCTAACAAGGCAAAACCCTTCCTCCCTCCTAACCCACCTTCCTTTCTTCCCCAGATATTCCTGAAACTCATGTTCAGAGGGCACACAGGTAGGCACCCTCGGGTGCTCAGAGTGATCCTCGGGGAGCTCAGTTAGGTGGGGGGATAGACCGTTACAAACCATGCCATGAAGTCTCCCGGGGTTGAAAACGCAGAGGCGTACACATACCAATGGCAAGAAGGAAGGGAGGCAGGACAGGGCAAGTGGGAGGGTCAGGGAAATCTAGAGAAGATGACCTAAGACTCTAGTCTTGAAGGAAGAATAGACATAACCTATTTGAAGAAAGAGGGAAGGGGTTCCAGGCAAGGAGAAACACATACAAAGGCAAGGAAACAATGGAACTAGATTTTCTATGTGCCTTATCAACTCCATCTCTTGCTTTATACTCTACCCGTTTACCTTGTAGCAAGTGAAATGATGGAACCCTCAGGCAGTTTAGAAAACTTAGATAGCCAATCATTTAATCTCTTAAAGAGAAAGGCATTGATAACATGGGCTAGCCAAGAGATTAAGCAGGTTCTTGGGTGCTTATGGGAAATGGGAAGCTGATGAAAATCAGGCAATGAATGTGAAATGTACATTTTATATTTAATTCTCTCTCCCTGGGAACTTGAGAAGTTGGAATTCTTTGCTGTGTGGGTGGGTGAATCCATGGGTTTTCTTAGCAGAAGGATGAGATAGAAGATGAGGACACAGTAATTCTAGGAATTTCAGGTGGGACCAAGGTCTATTCTCAAAGCCTTTGGACTAAACCTTTGCAGGTTCAACATTTGCAAAACATTTAATGAGATGGTCCCAGTCCTACACCCCAGCTGGGACCATTTCGTTAAGACAACACCCTTCTCTGAGTGTGGTTTATTTCTGTTCACAGAACCTTGGAAGACAGGAGGCCAAGCTGACCTCTTTAGTCAAGAGTCAGCTCAACTTTAAAATTATGATTGCATGTGAAAGCTAAAATGGGAAAGAGAAAAAAATCAGTTCTCAGAACAGAAATGCTAAAAACCCTTGGGGCCACATTCCAGTCAAGGTCTTGGCCCTGTGCACAGAGCTCCCCTTGGGGGTGGCTGGGCAGGAGATCAGCCGAGACCAGCTCAAATCAGTTGAGTGTCAGGGGTCATGGAGTTTATTCTAGAGGTGCCCAGTTTACAGATAAAGAAATGAATCAGAGTGATTATGCTACATAATCCTTAAAAACAGAAGCTCATGGGCTGCTAAAGCACTTACCAATTTCCAATGAACTATGTGCAATGATTAAAGAAATCAGAGGAATAGAGTAGGTATTAGCTTCCTAGGGCTGCAATAACAAACTGTGTGGCTAGAATACACAGTTCTGGGGCCTAGAAGTCTGAAATTGAGGTTTGCTAAGGTTGGCTTCTATTGGAGGCCTCTCCGCTAGCTTCAGGAGGTTGCCGGCCATCCTTGGTGTTTCTTGCCTGGCCTACAGCTACATCACTCTAATCTCTCCCTCTGCCTTCACTTGTGTTTTCTTTGTGCACATGTCCAAATGTCCCTGTTGTTGTAAGGACGCCAGTCATTGGGTTAAGGCCTACCCTAATCCAGTACAAGCTTGTCTTAAATTGATGATGTCTGTCTGTAAAGACCCTATTTCAAAATAAGTTCACATTTACAGGCATGGTGGTTAGGACTTCAATATGTCTTTTGGGTGGGCACAGTTCAACCCATAATGGATTGTAAGAAAAACAAAAATGAAACCCTGGGCAAGGCCAGAGAAGACCTGGTGTCCAACCTCATACCGCCCATTGGGGTACCCTTGGACTCTCAAAGTTTCTGTCCCCCTCTCTAAAGCAAAGCAGTGCCTGCTCTGCTTACTTTACAGATGCCATGAGAATAAAATAATTTTTAAACAATTATTTTCTATATGGAGAGTATTTCTACAAGTGCAAGGGACTATGAATTCATTTCAGATTGTGTTGACTCTTCCTTAACTTCATAACTACTTGATGAGTAGGTAATAAAATGAGAAACATGGCCTGCTTTACAGGGAAGAGAATTTAAATTACATGCTTCCCTTCGTTTATGTTTTGAGATAAAAGTATAATGGCAATCTACAGAGAACAGTAGTGCAGATCCTTGTGCCCTAGGCTTTTTGCTCACACCACAGCAGGGTGGTACTTAGGTGAAACTAATGGGTACAAAGCAATTAAAAGGCAAACCAAGAGGCCCTGGCTGGTGTGGCTCAGTTGGCTGAGCATCGTCCCATGCAGCATGAAGTCACCAGTTCAATTACTAGTCAGGGCCCAGGCCCAGGCTGCAGGCTTGATCCCCAGTAGACGGCCTGCAAAAGGCAGCTGATCCGTGTTTCTCTTGCTTTCCCTCTCTCGCTAAAATCAATAAAAACATATTTTTTTAAAAAAAACGCAAACCAAGAGGGTCAATGTTCTCCTCTGGGACATCAGCAGACATCTCCAGTGGTAGTGACTCCTCGTCCCCTCGATCTGTGTGGTCCACGACAATGTCCTGCTAATGGCTTTGCATCTGCTCTGTCTGAAGGTTTTTCCGAATATGGGGACACAGACCACCCAACTTAGAAAATTAGCTTAAAAAGTCATTTTCCTGGCTGACTGATGAGACATACATACTCCCATGTCCGCTACACAAAATAGAACCATTGTATAGCCAGAAATAAAATTCTGCAGTCAAAAAAAAAAGCCCCTTTCAAGAGGCCTGAAGCTCTAGCAGTGGTAGGGAAACACTGTCAGGCCAGCAGATTGAGCCAAAGGGACTTGGAAGGTATATAAAAACCTCCACACATACGGGAAGTGCCAAGAAGAGGTGCCATGCAATGACAGCCTGAGAACCATAGTTCTGTCCAAAGCATCATGTGATCACCTGGGTGTTAGTGAGGCGCACAGTCGTGACAAATGCTATTAACCTTGGACCTTGGGGGTTTGCTGACCCAGAGGAAATCCCAGAGGGGAATAACAGCCCCAGCAAAATGAAACAAAGAGGCTCTCAGAGAGAAGCTCTCCATCGGCCCTGCAAACGGAACTCTCCATTTCTCAGTGCTGGGTGCGTGTGCTTCCCAGGGATCTCACACACATTCAGGAATAGGCCGATCACACACGAGGTAATAAACAAAAGTTTATTTTCCTTTAATACAAAAATTAAATAGCAAAGTTTATTTATTTATTTTGTACAGCGATAAATTAGAAATTTACAGTACAGACATCAATGCAGACACACGTTTGTACATCCTTAAAAGCGGGGTCCATTTCCTTCGACGGTCAGCGATGCATTCAGGGCAGGTGTAGCCGGGTTTGCCTGGTACCTGTATGTCGAACATCTGAAAGTTTCCAGGTTGGCCTCGAGGTGGTTGGAGCTGCACGGAGGCACGGGGCTCTGGGGAATGGGCCGCGGAGCACTAGCTTCACTGTGGCGTGAGCAGGTGGAGTCCCATTCATTTTTTCACAGATCCAGCTGGTATTTATTCCACCCTTCCTACAATGGGCTCAAGGGGGTTCATCCTCAGACCTTTTAAAGTCTTACATTTCTGTGAGGTAGAAAAAAATTCAGAACCACCAAGATGCCCCATGGTGAGAGACCCAGAAAGCAGGCCCGCTCCAGTCAAAGCCCACAGCTGAGTCCGGGCCGGGGCCCATCAGCAGGGCGGGAACGGTGCACACCTGGGAGACCAGATGGGCCCAGCCATCACGGGGCACAGCTGCCCTTGCTCTTGCCCCTCTTCTCAGGAGCCTTCTGGGATGACAGTGGTCATGTACTGAATATCACAGGGGATCGGGGAGCTACAAAAGCTGGAAGGGCAAGGCTCACACAGGTCCCCAAACAGGTCCACTACCAATCGCCTGGGTGAATACTGAGAATTTGCTGGTGCAAAGAAGAAGGGAAACAGATAAACCAGAAACAGAAACAAGCTACTCTAGGGCAATGGGGCTTGGAAAAGGCGTGCTGGGGGGCATCGGGGTCCACCTTCCTCCTGGTAATGTCCCGCGAGCCATTACTGCCCATGGGCAAGGCAAGAGGCAGCAGCAGAAAGCTCTGGCCAGACCACAGTGAAGCAAAATACATTATTTAAGCCTCTGGTATCTGATCCTAGGTCGGAGCAAAATGCTCTCCTACGAGTTTCCAAGAACCGTGAAGTAGGCCCAGAAGAAAAACGATAACCTGGGTCCTTTGCCAGACATGATACAAACCCAGCTGGGGACTCTGAACCCAAATACAATAAAGGAGCAAAATGAACTGTCAGAGTCCAGTGACTCAACATCATTGGCTGAAACAGCAACCCTCCCTCAATCTCCTCCATCGCAGATTGAAATTCAGGATGAAGACTGATTCAGTGGGAAGAGAGGGGGGTGTTTCGAAAGTCTGTGCTCTGTGTCTCTCTTCCCTACTTGCTGCTGAGGTCACCTCACCAGAATCCAAAGCTTGCACCATCCTGGTGAACTCCCTCTCCACTGAGTGCCCCCCGGGGCTGAGTTCCTCTTTTCGACCTCAGGTCCCAGCATAGCTCCCAACAGAGGAAGCACTGAATTCAGTGGCCAGGAGGCAGAGTGGGGGCAGAGAGGACAGAGCTGGGGATGCTGGCGAAGTCACAGCTCAGAGCTGGATACAGAAGTTTCCCACACCCTGGGTTTGGGGGTGCAGGTGAGGGAGTGACCCGGGAGAGGAAAGTCAGAGAGCATCTCAGGAGAAACGTGTCACCCCTTCTCAGGTTTCAGGCCCCTGAGCAAGCTGCCAGCTCAGAAGCAGCCTCAGAGAGCAGGAAACAGGTCTTCATAGAGGAAAAAGGATATGAATCAACCAAGTAGCTCAACCAGATGGTTCTGGCCAGTTCCACCCTATCCCACGTCTCTCTGCCCTGAGACCCGGCCTTAATGAAGGAGGAGAAAGGAGTTTGTCAGAGAGGAGGCTGGACAGGTGCCTTAGGCTCTGCTGAGTAAAATCTCCAGAGACCAAGGCATGTGTAAGAAGCTACAAGTATACCTACTTATTCTAGACTCCAGAGAAAACAACAACAGCCCTAACCTTTTTCCTAGCAAGACACTGTCCGCAAATTTCCTGTGCAAGCTGCATGGAACACCCCAGGCCCTGAACTGCCTCCACCCAGAGCCACATTAGATGTGGGTGCTCACGTGCTCACCGCCGATTTCATAGTGTTCCTTGGGATTTCCACGAAAACGCTATGAAACAGTGGATGCTTCCTGTCAGAGCCCTGTCATTGATTTGCAGGGAATTCTGGGAAGGGACCAGAGATGCGTCAAAGAGAGAAAGACCCAGGAGGAGGTTTAGGGGATGAAGACAGTGAAAGAGATGGCAATTCAGACACACTCACACCTTCCCAAAACCAATGGCGAAGTTCAGCAGACCCAGAAGCATCCTGGTCTAGGACAGTGAGAGCAGAGCTTACCCTCCAGGACATCGCCTACAGTGCCTGCCACAGGGCCTTACACACAGTTGGTGCTCAAGCAATGTGCTAATCATCGACCTTTTTTTTCTTTTCTTTTTAGACAAAACCAATGTAAGAGGGGATGGAATCACTTCAGGGTCATTGGTAACTGACGCCTTAGCCACAAGCTCCTTTCCTGAAACCATGAACACTCTCCATGAGTGTGAAAGGAAAGGCCCATCACCCTGTGACGTTGCCAAGGCCAGTAACCCGGCTGCATCCACAGCCACTTCTGATCAAGTACACTGCCCCCCAGGAGGCAAGAGCTTTGCTGGAGAGACAAGTTGTCAAGGCACAGAACTCAGTGTCCAGGTTCACTCATGTACTCTTGTGTCATTATTATTATGGCATCATTCACAAATATTGAGCACCTACTCTGCGCCCTCTGCTAGGTGCTGCCTTGGTTACACCATCGCCAACACATGACAAAGAAAATTGCATGACAGCCCCCAGCATGCTAACAGCAAGGCCAGTGCCCGGCTGCACGGTCCTTCCCTGGCCTGGGCCAGAGGCTCCAAACAAGTCCCAAGACACCAGAGCAGAGCGTGAGTAAGGGCAGGCTCTGCCCTGGGTGCAGGCTCCAGGGCCCTGGCCAGCTATGGGAACTGTCTGCAAGCAGCCAGGGAGTTCACATTGTACATTTCATAGGCCATGTGGTCTCAGATGGAGTTCAACCGGTCCTCCCAAGGACCCTTTCTCATGCTCCTGAAGCCTGACCCCGGAGGCCAGCCAAGGTGCTCAGGCTGTCCCCCCCCCCCCCCCCCCCAACCCGTGACACACACCCTCCCGTGCCTACTTAGTGCCTGTCTCCAAAACCTCAAGGCTTTCCCTTCCAGAACCTGCAACAGGTCTTTATATGCAAATTCATCTCGGACTGTGCAAGAACCACACAAAAGCAGGGGAGAGAAGGAAGGAACATGTTGAACCAAGGGCATAAAGCTCCAACAAACAGAAAGCCATGCTTATTTCCAGAATTTGCCTACCTACTTGGAATTGTGAGTCCCTGGAGAAGTTTTTCCATTAAAAAACAAGTGATAAAAGAGCTTTCCTACCTGTTTTTTTTTTTTTTTTAAAGTGGGGCATGAATAAATAAATAAAGGAGTCATTGCAAAGTAGTCGCTGAAGCAGACAGGTAAGAGTTACAAGGAGAGCAACCTGCGACAGTGTCAACAATTTGTCCCGGAGATCTGGTGATTAGAGGGCCTAAGGCCGGTTAAGAGAAAGGCCAGTTACAATTTTAAAAGAATTGCAACTTTGGAGAGGCTGCTAGGGGGTACCCCCTTGTAAGGAACATAAAGCATAAATTTTAAAAGCTCTGGATACCTCCGCAAAAGGCAATTAAGACCTGTGCTGTTAGAGTTTGCAGTTCATTTCATAGGGTCTACACTTTATTCGCTACAAACCAATCAGCTGCTGGCTGGCATTCTGGAGATTCATTAGGCACCATATAAATACTCCAGGCCACGCTGCCTCCAATGAAATCTTATAAGGAGCCTTTGCCAATTACTGGGAAACAATTATACACCAAGTCGTTGGATTAGCTGTCCTTAGTCCCCTCTACAACACTGAAAAAGTCCCCATTGTGGCAGGTAGACCAGACTTTTCTGATAACATTCTTATGCTAAAAGGAAAAAAAAAAAAAGGCACTATCATTCCGAGAATGCAAGTTGACCACAGTTTGAAAGTCAGTTCAGTATACTATTATGTCATGGTCCAAGAATGTGCTTTTAATTGTAATTGACACACACAAATTACACAGTTTAATCTGTGTGAATGCAAAGTTGCCAAGAAATTTAACATTTTAGCTCTTCCAGACTGGCGTCTGCATAGATGCAATCACACAAAGTAAAATATATTAAATCCCCATTGCTCAATGCAATAGGTCTCTGGGGTCGGTAAGGTAAGTCGACTTGGTAAATCTCATTTTCCTCTGAATTAAGTGATTGTCAGAAAGTGAATCACCCTTCCGTCCCCCCTCATTAGGCACGCTGCAGTGCAAAAATTCCTATAAAAATGCCTATTTTGAGTTATGAATGTAAAATGAAAAAAAAAACACCCAACAACACAAAAACAGCAGCAGCCTCAAACAGACATGTTGAAATTTAAGAAGAGAGAGAAGAAAAATCCACTGGATACCTTATGTGTGTTTGTACAGTACTTTTGTTTGTTCAAACAATTCTGTTTTATGACAAAGGCACTGAAAGATTCTGACACCACCTCTTGGGAGAGCAATCCTCAAGTTCTAAACAGCAGACAATGCACCACAGAAAATGTTTATGTTAGATCAGCCAAACTATAAAACTCTTGTAACACGTCTCTGAACCCGGCATTTCCAGTGTTTATAGATTGCTTTGCTATCTGAAAGACCCAGTTAGTATTTTAAATTTTAAAGAGTTAAAAAAAAAAGTTAATCTTTCTCCCTGCAAGTTACCTACTCACAGCTCAAATCCCACCCCTCAGGGAAAAGCAGCATCGCTGGAATCTAGGCAGGACCTCCACGCTCCAAGTTGCGACCTGCTAAAGTGATCAATGTTATGATTTTTCACAGCTTTGAGAGCCTCTAACTGGCTTTTCCATTTTGGATTATTCCAAAGTCTGCAGCAAAATCATTAGTTTTATGATGCTGGGGTGAGAGGGAGAAGGTAGTGAGTGAAGGGGGTCACCTTAGGGTGGCTAGTTTGTTTAAACTGAGATTCACTGCATGAAACTTTTAGTAGCATTTGCACCGAAATGCTGGCATTTCCCCATCAAAATTTGGGAAGCGTGGAGGCTGGCTAGCTTTACACCACAGTTTCATTGCCTTTCCCAGGCTTTACCCAACCATTCCCTCTTTTTTCTCTCTTTACCTTCCCAGAGTTCACCAATCTGTTGGAACACTTCTGCCATGTGTGAAGAGTTTTGGCAGACCAAATCCACATGCCCGAAGTGATGCCCACCAGCAAAGACATAAAAATTTTCAACATTTCAACGGCCATATTGGAGTCATCTGCGGAATAGCGGAAAAGCGCCCAGTTGGAGATTTCATAGAAATAGCAGGCAATCACGCAGGTTGCAGGAACCGTGTACAGGACTGAGAAGACCCCGATCTTGACCATGAGCCTTTCCAACTTGTCGGTCTTTGTCCCATCCTTTTGAAGATTTGACCGAATTTTGAACAAGGCCACCAAGCCTGCAGCAATGAACAAAGTTCCGATCACCAGGTAAGTGAACAGGGGAGCCACCACGAAGCCGGTGAGGGCATCAAGGTTTTGGTTCCCAACGTAGCACAGGCCCGTGAGTTCATCTGCATCCACCAGTCTCATAATCAAGATGACAATGGTCTTCACCGCGGGGATGGCCCAGGCTGCGATGTGGAAATAGGAGCTGTGCATCTCAATGGCTTCGTGACCCCATTTGAGTCCAGCTGCCAAAAACCAAGTGAGTGTCAGAATAACCCACCAGATGGAGCTGGCCATTCCAAAAAAGTACATCAGCAAGAAAATGATTGCACATCCTGTGTTCTTAAGTCCTTCTTGGATGAGAACAGGTTCTGCTGCCTCTTCAAAATCGCAGGATATCCTTTCCCGGCCTACAGTCAGCCTGACAATATAAGCAATGCTATAAATATTATAGCACATACTGAGAAAGATGATGGGGCGCTCAGGGTAGGAAAACCTGGAAGAATCGATCAGGAAGGTCAGCACGGTGAAGGCAGTGGAGATGAAGCACAGGCTGGCCCACACGGCCATCCAGACGTCGGTGAACTCCTTGGCTGAGCGGCTGTATAAGCCAGCATCGTAGCCGCACTTGAGAACGCAGTTCAGGCTCCTTTTCACCCAGATGTACTGATCGGAGTTGGTCCCCACGGAATGGCACTCTTCCCCAGGCTGGATGGAGTTTTTGTGGGGTAATGGCACCTCCTCGTCCCCTGGCCCTTCCATGCACATGTGGTTGTGGTCGTTCTGGGGTGGGAATTTGCTGCAGTTCAGGCTCTCCGGCCAGGCAAATCCAAACTCCTTCAGGACAGGTTCACAGCGCCTCTTGACAGAAAGACACATGCCGCCGCACGGGCCGATGGGGATGTTGATCTTCTCTGTGCACATTGGCACATACACGGAACAAAGGAAGAACTGGAAAAGTAATGAAACGAGCAAAGAAAACAGTGACTGGGAAGTATGACCAAAGGTTTGCACAAAGCTGAGTTGTGAATGCTTCCAGGCATAGCGCACAACTACTTTTAAACCTGCCTATAGGGAGTCTGGCCATTCATGCTGACCTCAGACAAGGATGTCTAGTAATCCCCTACACACTTTTCTTCTTTGGGTTCTAGTAATCCTTTCCAGGGCAACATAAATAAATACAGGTATAAAAAGGGTAAAATGAATTATATAATCCCCTTTTGTCCAATGCTTAATAAGTCTTAAAAGACTTAACGTTGAGTTCTCCCTCCCTTTTCAGCTACTATTTGAAAGAGCTGAACAGACTAATCAAATGATAGTCATTTTGGTGATGGGTGATTTATTTTCCTTTTCTTTTTTTTTAAAAAAAAATATTTTTATTGATTTCAGAGAGGAAGGGAGAGGGAGAGATAGAAACATCAATGATGAGAGAGAATCGTTGGTCGGCTGCCTCCTGTATGCCCCACACTGGGGATCGAGCCCGAAACCTGGGCATGTGCCCTTGACAGGAATGGAACCCAGGACCCTTCAGTCCGCAGGCCGACGCTCTATCCACTGAGCCAAACCAGCAAGGGCTGGGTGATTTATTTTTCATCCCCATTTCTTTATCACCATAAAAATAAAGGTTAAAAAAAAGGAGACCCACCTCTTCGGTTAATACTCTCTCTTTTCTGTACTTTATCCCTTAAAATTATTGTTCATATCGAAACAGAAAGTATCCTAATTACGCTACTATCTAGACCCAAGGATGGGATGCAGGATGGGATGCAGGTTGAGGTCTCTGGTCCCCAAGGGTTTGTTTGGCCAGGTTTCCACTTTGAATAATAATGAAGCACAATAGGAAAATATAAATGTTACGTCCCTGACGCTGCAGTACCAGCAGGGGAGAGTGCAGTTGCTGTCCTCAATTCCTCCAGCATTGATAAACAGCCTGCTTGGCTCCTTACAGATGTTGTCTATGAAGTCTAGAGTTACAAGTTACTATTTTCCAGCATGTAAAGGGATCCAGTCCTGTCCTTCAAAACAGCTTGGCTGCCGCCCCAGGATACATGCAATTAAAAATATATATCCCTGGAAAAGCCGTTTCTCCAACAAAAAAATTGCCACTGATGTCAGGATATGTGCTGTTTCCAAACCGAGGGCTAGCGGGCCATTTCTTAAGCTTTTATAACCTAGTTCTGAAGGTCTGGAACTTCCACGGGGACACTTCACCAGCAACGGTCTAATCCCAGCCATCTTTCTGAAACCACAATCTAACTTTTAAAATGACCCATATAAAAGCATGCACCCTAGTAAGTAAGCTGCCTGCTTGTCTCTTATCTCTCAGAAGTTATAACCAGAACCACTGATTTCTAAAGCTTTTAGCTAGCCTGGACAACGATCCCCTATTTTCACCAATCTCTCCCTTTTCTAAAATTCAAAAGAAAAAAAAAATCACTCATAGTTTCGTCAAACAAAACACAAGTGTGAACACTTTTTAAAAATGTCCTTTCAATCCTTTTTCTTTTCCAATGAATTGGGTGTTGTTGCTTTTGGGGGGTGTTGTTTTTATAAGATTGTCATCACTTTGTATAGGCAAATTCTTTCTTCACTTACAATTGTAGGATGCACGTTTTCTGTATCATTACATAAGCTTAAAACATGTGTAATGACTGCAAACAACAACCGCAACCTCCCAATATGCAAGCTACCTTCTTCTAATATACAAACTACCTTTCTCCCAAACTGTGTTTTCTCCCCCTCCAAGTACTAAACCTGCCTTCAACCCTGAGCATAAGAATAAACTCAAGCCAACGCAACCATTCCTTCCTGCATGACCTCTACAATCAGGGGGGCTACACGCTTAGGGGCCACTCCGCAGAAAACGGGGCAGTGGTGTTTCATTGAACAAACCACCCAGAAATATGGGGGAGAAATGAGGTCGGTGAGGGAGAAGTTCCCAGCTCCTTATCTCTCCTTCCAAGTCTTAGCTGCAGCTGGCTGCCCCGCCGGGGACTCGCCCACTGAGCGGCGGCGGCCAGAATCCTTGGCAAAGATAACCCTCAGCTCCACTGGGGTTAGGGGCTTGGCCAGACACGGTGGGCAGGGGAGAGAAGCGGAAGGGCGGGGTGTAAGAGTGGGTTCTTTCGCAGGCCAGATGACTTACACAACGTTTTGGCTTCCAGTCCCTGAGAAGGGACAGACAAGTGGGGGTGGGGATGGAAATCACTTTTTCAGGATTATACCCTTCAGCCTAGAAAGCGGGCAGGGGGGCTCAACTTGGTAAGGGTTCCACCGAGTTAGTTTGGGGCGTCCCTGCCCCAAGGGTCTCGCGGGGGATGGGGGTGGGGGTGGGGTGGGGGCGCCCACCTGCAGCTGGCTGGAGCAGCCGTACTGGATGAGCGGCGTGAAAGTTGTCAGCTGCAGCTCGGCGTCCGTCTGCAGCTCGTGCCCCACCAGGTTGGGCATCTTGGTCACGTTGTAGCCCAGGTTCTGGCACATGGAGATGCGGATGGGGTCGCAGCGCCGCTCCTCCTCGTCCCCGAAGCCCCAAGCCGGCCCCAAAAGCAGCAGCACTAGCCAGGGGACCCAGGAAACGCTCCTGCTCTCAGCTCAAGCATCATGTCTCTGCCTCGCAAGAGACCCCCTTAACGCACTCACATCCATCCTTTCCCACCCGCCCCTCTGCCGTCCCCAGCCCTACCTGGCCGGTGATCACTGTTCCTTGTTCAGATCAGACTGCTGTCAGCAGGGTTTGTGTGTGTTTTCAATAGGAGGCTGAAGTTTACTTAGCATATACACGGGTCGTGTCTGACATTTGAGAAAATGCTATTTGCATAAAACACCGTAGATTAAAGATACATAGAATTTGCCCTGGCCAGTGTTGCTCACTAGTTAGAGCTTTGGCCCATGCACCAAAGAGTCTCCCGCCCCGCTCCCCGGCTCTCACTTTCCTCCCACCCGTTTAGCCGGGTTCGGGGGCGAGGCAGGGATGGAGCCGGGTCACTCCGGCCGGGACAGCCGCCCCCCCACTCTCCCAGGTGAGAAGTGCTCCCAGAATGGGTGGGCTCCCGTTCCTTTCCTTTTCCAGCTGTCACCTCGGTCCCCGGCCACCTCCCCGTCAGGCAGGGAAACCTATACAAAGAACACGGGAGGTGGATTTACGGAGATTGCGGCTTTAAATCCCGGCTGTGTGACCTTGAGCAAATTGCACAACCTCTCGGCGCCGTTCTCGTCTTCCTTAAAGAGACGCGGGAGGATCAGCGATCAGGCGTAAAAACGCTTAGCACGGTGCCTGGTACAGCCCGCGCGCAGCTCTTTCCACTCCCCACTTGCTCGGGTGGGAGCCCGGCCCCCTCTCCCCGCCCCCAGGCTCGGCCGACCTGCGCCGGGGAGCTCCTGCTTCCAGCCGCGAGTGGGGGAGGCGCCCCGGAGCCGCCGAGCGGCCGAGGGTCTCGCGCTCCGATTTCCTCGCCGCATGAAATGAAATTCCACAGGGGGATTCGAAAGGAAATGAAGCCGGGAAGCTCCGTGCTTCTCGGCCCGCCGCCCTTCCTGTCTCGGGGACACGGTTTCTAAATAAGGTTGGGAGGGAGAGAGGGCGGGAGAGGAGAGGCTCGACCTGCTCTAGAGAAGAAAAGGGGGGCGTGTGGGGGAGGGAGATGGGCCAGAAGGCGCACAGCTACAGGGCTCCCCTCTTCCTGAGTCCCAGGCATCCTTGCCTGCAGCCTGTATCTCTTTCTAACTTATGCTGCTTCTGAGTAGGGTTCTGGGGATCTGGGGACCATACGACCTGGTTTCAATCCAACTTAACCCCTCTCTCATTCTCAGCCCTTACCCCCACCTGCAGCCCCCTCCCCAGAGCTGTGGGCTAGTTGCCCCTCTCAGGTTTCCACGTGGGCCAGGGAAACCCTCAGCAGGTGGATTCCTCAACCATGTACTTGTTGCTTTACTGTGGTCAAGTTACTGTGAGTCTCAGCCTCTGGCCATCCGTGAAGTGGGAAGCTCATGTCTACATCACACAGTTGTTCTAGGAGTTAAATGAGGTAATACCTGTAAGGCATTTAGCTCTTCGTCTGGCGCAGTGTCTAGTAAGTGCCGAATATCTTAGTTACTGATGTGGGACAGCCTCCTGCTTCCCAGCACCTTGCCAAAGACATCTCCAGCAGCCCAGGTCTGAGGATCTGGGTGAAGAGCTTTCTTCTCTTTTTCTGAGACATGCCACTGTTTTCCTGGGGTTGTTGACAGGACGCTACCGGCGTGTGTGTGTGTGTGTGTGTGTGTGTGTGTGTGTGTGTGTGTGTGTGTCCTCCCACATCAGCTAAGTGGGGCATATGGCAGAGCCTGGATATAAGTTGGAAGGATGTCTGTGCTACTAGTGCTCATATTCTGTTCTGTATTTTTAGTTTTCTTTTCTCATATTGGCAACTATTTCCTTGGCTAGAGGAAAGAATGGAATCAACATTTTTGGTGTTTGGCTCTGTACTGGAACTGTGTTGTACACATAGAAGCTGCAACTGTCTCCAGCCATCATCATCATCATCATCATCATCATCATCATCTCCTGGGGAAGGAGACTCTGTTAGCCTCCGAAAGAGATGAAGAAACGTAGGCTAGAACCAAAGTGATAGAAAATGAAAGATCAGTCAAGCCAGGGCCCAAAAGAGGCCTTTCAGAGATGGGGAACAGGGTCATTTCTCCAGAAAATTTCCCAGCTGGAGATGGACGTACTCAGCAGTAGGGTTAAAGCTTCTGAATGCCTGGTGCTGCTCTCACAGAGGAAACTGTGGACACAGTCTTCTCTATAGTTAGAGGTGACCCTTTTATGTTCTGGGCCTCTTGTACCTGGCCCTGGCATCCCTGCCTCGTCTTGCTTGAAGCAACTGTCTCCTTTCAGAACACTCGAAGAAGAAGGCCATCCCCTGTCAGAAGCTTTTCCTGTCAACAGCTTTTCTTTCCCTGCATGGAACTCATCGCAGGTATTTTCCAAAAAAGAAAGCCAGGGGAATCACATTTCAGTCTGAATGTGGAAAGAAAACAAAGACCACAACTTAGAGCTAAGTCTGAATGGCCTGGAGCCCCTCAGCCTCCCTCTCACAGAGTGGTTTACACAGCCGCCCGTCTGCTCCTGGTGACAGGCATGGCATGTTTGTCTTTGTTGCAGAAAACACTTCCAGGCAGAGGGCTATCCACCCTGTGACATGCAAAGCATTTAGGAGAGAAGCAGAAGTTAGGGACACATGAATAGGACCTTCCATTAACCTAGAGGGCAGGCCATGGGCCCCTAGTGGCTCTGGCCTGAGTGCCTGGGCAGCTCCCTCTGGCCACTCTCAGTCGTAAAGACACATGCAGCACACTTTGGAGATGCAACAAACATGACTTTGGGGGGCTGGGGGGCAGTTGGAGGGCTCTCCATTTGCATCTAATGAGAGGCCGGGTTCTAATTAACTCCTGTGATGTGTTAATTTTTCAACCTGACATTTTCTGCTCTAATAGATTCTTGTAATGGTTCCTAAATTAAAGGCTGCGTTTAAAGACTAGCGTTTAGGTTAAAATCCACCACCTAGGGGGGGTGGCGTGGGGGGGTGTAAACATCCTTTCCTTCGTAAGGAAAACCTCTCATTTGCAGTTTTTTGCTAACCCAATTAAGTGCTGAAGTAGTCACTCCAGAGCCTGCTTTTCATTTTCTGCGAAACAATCAAACTAATCCATATTCAGTAGCTTCCAAGAAAAGTCTTATTCCAACCACTCACGAAGAAACCAGCTTCTTTGAATCTGGACAGAACATTTAGAACTCAAAAAGAGCTGTCTTGATGGAAAATGCAAGAAAGTGGTTCATTATCAACCTGTTTAGTTTTTGAGGGGGAAATTCATTGCCTCATAGGATTGGCAATTCACTGTGGAAAACAGGAGCATAGGGGGAAGTCATGCCACATCCTATTCGTTTATAGATAGTCAAGGTGCTACATCTTCTCTGGTACCCAAACTAGCTATAAAATAAGAACGTGCATACTGGGTAAGGCGGAACCCTAACCCTAACCCTAACCCTAACCCTAACCCTAACCCTACCCTAACCCTAACCCTAACCCTAACCCTACCCTAACCCTAACCCTAACCCTAACCCCAACCCTAACCCTAACCTAACCCTAACCAGAATCTTGCTTAAAGTGGAAGAATCAGAGGTCCCCAAGAGGTTAAATAACAGCTCCTGAAGGGCAGAGCCAAACCTTCTTATCTATTGCACCACTAGCCAGCAGAGAAGAATCCAGTCACCAAGGAGCTATTGCATGTCAAGGAATCAGAGCCCTGTTCCTCCTACCAAGCATAGGACAGTACATAAGGCATTCTATCTGTTGGTGGTGATGGTTTAATATATAGGTGAGTAACCATGAACATTTGCAGAGGGCAAAAAATAATGCAAACACATCCACAACTTCATTTCATTTCAATATTTATCAGTCAAGCCACTAGCCAATGTTTAGTGATGGGTTACTGTGGACATGTCACTGAGAGGTCTTCCCTGAACTCATGTTTCAGCCTCCCTTCATCACTCACTCCTTAGCACTGCTTTATTTTCTTCACTAGAGGCCCAGTGCACAAATTCATGCACGGGTGGGGTCCCTCGGCCTGGCCAGCAATCGAGGCCTATTGGAGGGCCAGCGAGCCACGGGGAGGAACCCCAGGAGGTTGACTGTGGGAGCGCACTGACCATGAGGGTGCAGATTCTGCATTGAGTGTCTGCCCCTGGTGGTCACTGTGCATCATTGTCCCAGTTGTTCCAGTCATTCTAGTCATTTGGTTGTAATGGTCGCTTAGGCTTTTATATATTATATACATACTAGTGGCCTGGTGCATGAAATTCGTGCATGGGGGCGGGGGTCCCTTCAGCCCAGCCTGCACCCTCTCCAATTGGGGACATCCCTCTCACAATCTGGGACTGCTGGCTCCTAATCACTCACCTGCCTACTGGCCTGATCCCCCTAGCTGCTTTCCCCTGCCAGCCTGATCATCCTAACTGCTCTGCCCTGCCAGTCTGATTCCCCTAATTGCTCTCCCCTGCCAGCCTGATTGCCCCTAACAGACTCTGCCTTGGTCCCACCACCATGGCTTTGTCCAAAAGGACGTCCAGAAGGTCGTCTGGAGTTGTTTGGTCTAATTAGTATAGATAGATGGCACTCACTGATGTCTGTAACTGGCTTGGTGATTTACTTGCTTATATAATTTTCTCTTTCTCTCACCTGAAAAGAATCTTCACAAGAATAGGGTCTTAGCAATCTTCCTCACTAACATATACCTGGTGCCTAGGAAGTGCTCAATAAATATTTGTTAAATGAACAAACTTACATAGTACCTGCTGTTGTTCTCCCTGCAGTTGAGGACACAGAGTCTCAGAGAGATTAAGAAACTTGCCTCAGGTCCCACAGTAAATGGCAGAGTTGATATTTCAACACAGGTCCACTTGACTCCTCAGCTTATGCTTTTGACCAGTATGCATCCTAGTGTAGCTGGCTCCATTGCCTCCACGGTGTTCTCTTGGTATGAAGTGCCTTATAGGGTATTGGAGCTGGAATCTGTGCTAACCAGCTAGTTCCTTGCTTAGTCATTAAAGTTAATCAGTTAACAGCTATGTATTTACTGAGTCCGTATAGTATGCACTGCTAAGGTAA